CAGAAATTTAGATGAGACTTGTTTCGGCTTCTTTAATGTATAAAACGTAAAAATAACCTAAAAATGTATGATTCTGAGCAATGTACAGACAAAACTCTAATTTTATTTATATAGATTTCCCACATGAAATTACAACAAAATAAATTTATACAACAAAAAAATATATAAATGTTGTATTATTGTGTTAAATGTATGTTGTATAATCAATTTGTTTTCAAGTTATAGTATTTTCAAACGCATTGAGGGAGTTGCAGTTTGTCAATGGATACATACTCCCGACTCGATTTTTATCTAGACTGTATTTCATTTTTTCTCCCAAGGATGGATCCCTTAGTTTTTCCTTCCAGATTATTGATTTTCACAGAATATAGAGCGAGGGCGTATTTTGAGTCGCTAGTGAGTGAAGGATGCGTTTGAATGAATGGTGATACTTTTATTCCTGATTAAAATCAGTTAGTTCTATAGCTGTTATAGCTAGTTATTAATAGTTGATAAAGGATAAGTGGAGTGCAGTTTTGAACTATAAAATAGCTATTGACTTTTCTCAGACAGAACCAGAATGATCTACATTCTAGTACTTTTTAACCACATTTTACTAATGCCGCCATTAATGTCAACCTTGTCCATCAACTATGTAAACTCTATTTCGTCTTTCTGTAATAAGTTTATACTGAATCTGTGATTACATCAAGCCCTTAGTTTTTCACGTAGGTAACTTAATGTTTCAGTCCCTATCAATATTATTAATATTAAATTGCGATTTTGCGTTAATTTAGGCATTATAAAATTTACTTTATAACTCTCGTAGTTTATGTTTAACTTCCATAATCAGGTAGTGCACAATTACAATTCAATATAATATGACTCTCATATACAATGTTTGAAACCACATTACATGCTGATCTCTGGTCAACGAACATGGTATCAGTAGCAGAGGTTGATCAGCTGGTTCCATATCTTATCAATGCGTTTGCCATCGGACTTATAACTACATAGTATCATAGTATCTCGTACCACTATGACACTTCTTATTTGGAACACCGATCACCACATAGTTTATTATTTAATTGGAATTTAAATAGTTGATTCAAACATTTGATTTTTTTAAATGTTCGATGCACCATAATTATGATTATCATATTTTGTCGAGAACCTTGTCATAATTTTATCCCCATTTTCCGAAAGGCTTGTATTTTCAAGTGGATGCGTAGTAAACAAAATTCCACGTGGATGAGCCCAATTAGGGGCTGCAGGTCCACAATGGAGAGGATTTTTGCACCCCGAACCCTCCAAAAATCAATGGCGCCCCATGGTCCATTTCTTGATTGGAGAGCGAGAGAGAGAGGGATGGGCGATCATAACACCCTAGCATTAGCGATTGCTTTCCACTTTGTCGGCGAGTTTTATCTTCAACTTCAAACTTTGTTCATTTATTGATTGGAAGGGTTGAAAGAATTGGTAAGTTGAAGCATGTTTCGTTGATTAATCGACATGCAACACTAAGAGTGACAGTGACTCCGATTTCCAAATAGTACGTTTTGCGTTTATTTTTGTATGGTACCTAACCCTTAAGTTAAGTTTAATTCTGGTATTTTGAAAAAACCTTTTGACCTCCTTGTTTTATTCTTCCAAATCTATCAAATTAGTCAACACCCATTTGCTCATCAAGCGGTGCGTACGGACAGATAAATGCGTGTAGCATTACATAAATTACTGCATGGTCTATAGCCAATAGATGAACCATTGATAAAAAACATACTCCCTTAGTAGATTTCTCAGCCCTATGGATTAACAGAAGACTTATTGTCAGTTACGGTGCACTGTAGAGGTCGTGTTTTGTGTACAATTTAGTTCTCGTTATTTCAGTCATTTTAAAACCTCGTTTAACCAAATCGATCTAATCATAAACAATAGTTCGTCCCCTAGTTATATAACTAAACAGTAAACCACAAATAATGAAATAAACCCTTAAATAATAAAAGGCAAAATTTTGGGAACAAAGTCACAAACATGAACTAGACACGAAAAACGAGCTTCAACATTTATAATGGGATGAAAAGTCTAATTGTTTCGGTTAGTCTATGGTTGAACTGACTCACCACTGACTCTATGGCGAAGATAAAAAACAACTGTAGGTTTATACCATTGACTCATCTCAGAGATGAGTCATTAATTGACACGACACATTGATTGTGTCAATGTTGATACTTTGCAATAAGTATTCTGCAAGAAAAGATTGTTAGTGTGTTTTCTGACGATTGAATGTTTATCTCTTTTTACAGTTAGGTGGTTCCATTTGTGCTTTTATATTGTACCCTTTTCACGGTGCAAGTGGTAGTTCAGAAAATGGGCCGTTCTAAGTTTTCAAGTTTTTAAGATGATAAAATAACGAAAGATAGGTATTATAGCAAAACGCCCCACAGAAACATAGCTTCTGTGTTGTCTTCAGCTGACCATAATGATGATAAATCTGCAAGTGTTTGTTTCTTTGTTGAACTGGTTCCCGTAACGACACCATAAACCGTATACCTTACAGGACAAGATTGTTAGTATATAATTCACCCTAAGATTTGAAACTTTTTGTTTTACTTATTGATAACTTTGCATTAACACTTTCTAAATTTTTAAAGAATTTCAATTTATTTCTCTGTGTTACTTATCTCAGGTAAACGCAATGTAATTCCAATCCAGTAAGCTATACATTTACGTGTATTACACCCCAAAGTGCTGACCTTATAGTAGATGCTATCTCACAACATTATGATCATAGTGTATTGATGCCATTATGCAGCTCATTGTATTATACCCCAGTTTTTCCTTCCACGCAGGCACGTGTTATGCTAGCCAAGGGACATCCTCTATACAATACACACCATAGGACCACCATGCATTCACTCCTTATCACTGTACAATCACCCTTATCACCAGCATCCCTACCAGGACCCACCCTCTATACAAACAAGCCCAAACTACTGTCATTTTTTGTGTGTTTTCATTTGATTAATTTTTCAGTTAATTGTGTTCCTATTCGCCTGGTAAAAAGTAATTAAAGTAAATTCATTTCGAAAACAAACATTATTTATTCGTTTTTATGTGCTACAATTAATTGCCAGTGTTTTTGCCAGGTCGCAGTTTTAGTAATTTGTTATTTTAAGTGAAAAACTGCATGTGCGTGAACACGTACTGTTGTTTTACCGGTGAAAAATTGCTCATAGGTTACCCCGTCATGAGATATAAATACGCGGAATTTAGCGCCGGCTGTGGTTACGCTTAAACTGACATCTGTAAATTAATTACGTACATTAAATATTTTTAGAGAAATCCCGCTGTTATGCGAGGGGTGTGTTTTTTCATCACAAGCAGAATGCCTTCGGGCAAATAAAAATAGTGAGTGGGCTAAATATAAAATATATTCAGTGTTTACAGTGTTTTAGGTTGTTAAACTATATACGCTGCAAGTTTGTACGATTAATTATCTCCATTGCACTAGCCCTAATCACGATGTTTATGATAAAAAAATAAAATTTGTTGTTTTTAAAGATGCCATAATTATTTTTGAAGTTTATTTTTAATCAAATCCTTTGTTAGATAATAGTTTTTAGGAACCATCAATGATTTGAGAACAATGTTATGATACACCTTGTGAATAAAAACTAACCTATTGACACGTTAGGTTAAAAACACAATGTTAATAAGTTCACTGCAAACCATGGGCTTCAATAAAAAAATCCATTACAGTTATTGTATTAAATCTAACGGTGTATGCAAGTGTGATTTAAGTTATGATATCAAATTAATAGTAACGGTTAAGGATTTGGTTGTGAATAGCCTGTATTGTTTTTATTTACTGTATATTTTAAATAACGCTTTGGGTCCTTGTAGATTTTTAAACCTCACCCAGTATTATTTTGTCCAGCTCCACCTCACTGTATTTATGACGTGTCATTTCACAGTTTTATTTCAGCACCAGTATGTACGCTTCATTGTTAGTTCATGACCATCTGTTCCAAAACTTCCGGTTCGGTTTTCATACATTTTCGCTTTTGTTTTACCGATTTGTATCATCGTTTTTATTTTTTTAACTGTTGTGTGTTGTAGGGCATTATTTTAATACGATACCGATGTTTTATATAAATAACCACAACGGAAGGTAGGGAGGGGCTCTGTAAATACCAGGCTATTCTCATCTTCCGTTAAGCATTTATTTTAAACCGTAAAAATACCTCGAAGAAACTCCAATAAAAAGAATTCCAAAAACTCGATAAAAAAATAGTTGATTGTGCCTGTGCTAAAATATTATAGCAACGTTAAAAGGCACGATTACAATTGTTAAATATTTAATTGTATAATTCAATTTATTCCTAATTAATGAGTTTTTTTTCTTAGTAACAAAAAAATCAGAAAGAAAATACGTTTTAACTTATTAAAGGAGTGTAATCCAGGTTTATACCAAGCTATGTGATTTGGTAATGCTAAGGAGTAAAATACTATTCAGTTGGAAAAGTAAAGTCTCTTACGATTTTCAAAATTGTTTATTGCTGTATATGGAACTTGGTCAACGCACTTTTGAAAACTTTGATGCTTGATTAAACTTAAACAATTGACTTAACTTACTTTTAACAAATAACATAAACCATTAACTTAAAATGCCTACTTATACTACTTTGAAACTAAGTGTACATTAATTTAGAACCAATTAGCAACAAAAAAACCAATCTCTAATAATACTTCATCTATGGTACAAATAACAATATACTTTAAACATACCAAACGCTTGCGTTAAACTGAACGTACATTTAGTTGTGACCATTTGTATTATACAATAATAACTCAGGCTTTACATGTTTACCTAACTGATATGGCTAATTGAGCGGGGCAGCCAGCTAGGCACATAATCGCATGACGGCTGGGCTCTGATTGCAGGTTATTTATACGTGCGGCGCGCGGGGGAGAGACGCGATATTCGACCTAATGAATCATACCGGTGATTTATGTTTCAGGTCTCGGCTAGCGGCCGCTTACTCCACCATACAGTTATAAGGTAAGATTTGTTGTGTTTTCAATCTTGTACTGTTTGTTCTTTCCTTTACGGTAGGTTTAAACGTCTTAAATTTAATTTACCAGTGTTGTATAACTGTGGTTGATTTTAATATGTCTATGCATGGTTGATTCTTTGAACGTTCCATTTAAATATAAATGGAATAACCTAAATTTAAACGTATACGTATACGTATTTAAAAGTTCCACAAGTTTTTGTTGTAGATTGAAGGTTGTATGTTTGTTATATCAAATAAATTGATCTTTGCTGTGAGAAAACAGTACTTTAAACATTTTACCTAAGACGGAAATTTTAGTTAATTACTATTAGTACAATGGGTTAAATCCTGTTTATTTGAGCGTTTTACAAATAATTCATCTGCAATTTTCAATTAGTTCTTAAGCGTAGTAGATTAAAATAATAAAAAAAGATATTGCTATGAACAGACGAATTATCGAAATGTGTCTGTGGTGGTACAAATTAGGTAAATTTTTGAACGGTTTTTAGAGCTTTTTAACTAGCTTTAGTTGGAAATTCATACAGTATAATGAATTTAAAAAATAATTCGATTCATTGAAAACTTCTAGATGCCCAATAATACGCAATTAAATAACACTGCAATATATTAATTGGTCTAAGCATAAAAACTAATAATAAACCAAACTACAACACCATAAACAAATAAACTATCCATAATACTAAAAGCTTTCCTACCTCAGTTGTACACACCGTATTTTCACTTCATTACCTAAAGCGCAGATCGGTTATGTGATAAAACAAACCCGCCACATTTCAACATTTCCCGCCAATTGTTGGGAAAACCCAATCTCTTAATGCGGACTCCTCATAAAAGAGAAATGGATTGGAACAAGAGCGGCAAAAATAGAAAAGCTTTTCATAAACTACTCCACGCTAAATTGATATCAAGATACTTCCAAACCGTTTTTAATAATCTGGGCAAAATACGGGAGAAGAATGCCAAAACAACTCTTGTGGTTGCCAAGACAATACTGAGTGGGATATGAACGTTTTAAATAGTCCAGTGAAACGTTTATTACACGTTTCAGGCTCTAATAACACTTTATTTCACAATATTTATTTAAAACAGAATATACCAATAGTGCCTACTCTATGCGCTGAGAAGAGTGTTTTAAGTTGAGGGAATTTGCATTTACGAATGTTAATTAAAAATTTTTTGATTGTCTTACTTTTGATTGTACTCGAACGTAAAAGGTTCGCTTAGTTTAAACAATGTTGTGTTTAGGTTGTATGTGCGTCTCTATTCGATTGTCAATAATATAAGATAAGACTATACCCGTTTTTGTAAATGTTGTTTTATCCATATTTTAAATAAGTTTTGTTGGAGATTTTAATTTTAAAAGAATACTGTGGCAATAATACGTGAAAACCCCAATTTTGTTTAATATTAGTAAAAAAATAACAATTCAAATGTTAAACCTCTTAGCTCTGTAATGTTAAATGCATGATTTGATTATTTTTAAGAGGGACATAGATACCGATTCCGTAATATTGTAATAAAGTAAGCATACATGTTTTGAAATTTATTAAAACTACATTTTTTATTGTCTACTCCTTTTATAATAGTTACCGTCAATATAAAAGCTTACAGTAACAAGTTGTATACATCTATGAATAGTTTGAAACCAGATAAGATAATATGAGTCATACAACACAACAATAACAGAGAGTAGAACATTGGGAGGGGGCCCAAGGCCGAGAAAGCGCGGCTGACAAATAGGCGGCTATTGAGGTGATAAATGGCGGGAACCGGTCAGATGCACTTCCGGTCAGCGATCAGCTGTTCGCTGACGTACGGCTTGCCAACCTCTCAAGAGGAAAGCTGGAAAGTCATGTAGGTTGTGTGTGATGTACCAAATTAATGTGAATATTTGTGGTAATGATACAAAAATATAAGTTGTCTTTTTGATGCGAATGAAAAATTATAATAATGACTTGATTGTTGATTTGGCCATGCCATTGTATTCATCATTCAGCTATTACATCAAATTATTGTGAAGTCCCTCTAAAGTCATGCTAAATACATTATAATGCTACAGACGGATTACCTAGCTGGCCAATTATAACATTAATTAGGCTTTATGGTAAAGCTGGTTGCCTCATGCTATCCATAGTGATTGTTTAAATTACTATTTGATTTAAGGCTTATTCATTAGCGGTATACAACAAAATTTTCTTCGTGGTCAACGTTAAAAGCGTAGTTTTATGGCAATTAAGGATTATTAATACCTGTATGCAATTCGCCTGTTTGGTCGAGTGCTAGGTCGCCTTTAAATATGAAGGTTGCTGTTTCAATCCCAAGCGAGATCGAATGTTGATGCCACTCGTCTCTAAGCAATCAGTTAATTATGATGGCTATCTTACAAGAGGTTGACGATGGACAAAGGTAGAGTTTGGACAGATTCCTTTCAAAAACCCCAAAAATGACTCACAGATACTCATTAAAGAAATCAAATAATACACTAACCGAAAAGGCCGATACTCTAAGTTCGAATACTATTGTTTCTAAGTTAGTGAAAAGGTTACAGTTTTAAGGCAGGTATAAACATGCTGGAGCTTGCTTTGGTATGAAACGAGGATACAGCTAACTATTAACTTGAAAAGCAGAAAATCAGTTCGAAATCGTGTCGAAAACAACCCGAACTAACCAGCTCGTACATAAATTATCAACTTTCCATATTAATTTAGCCAATCAAGGTCGCCAGGACTAGTTTGACGACGTGAACTGTCGACGCCAATTTAATTATCGTTGGCACATCGGAGCCCAGATTCTGGCCGATAAAGTAGCCATATTACCGAGGAGTTAACCTTGGCCTCCGCGCGGGTAAAAACTGGCGGGTAAAGCTGCTTTACAATCAATAGGGCGAGGTGAACTCTGACATTCTGCGGGACTATTAGGCAAAGTAAATAGCCGCGGAGAGAAATAAGTCAGGGAACAGGTTTGCAAGCATAATGAGTGTGCAGCGCGACGCATGCGCCGTGTATGGCGGTGGAGTGGTGGGGGGAGGTGCAGTAATGCGCTGTGACGCCAGTAGGTCACGTGATCAACGCAGTCGCCTGTCTTGTTTCAGGCGAAATGCGACAACCTGGGAATATACTGGTTGGATCGCATTTTTGCACAAATTGGCCGAAAGAATTACAGGGGTACCGTTAGAGAATTGTGTGTTACTGTAGAGATTGGTTTCTACAGGTATTTAAAAAAATAAGGAATTAGGCGTACATACATTTTTTAGTGTAGAGAGTACCTGCAAATGTATAATAAATGTATACTCCACACTGCATTTTGCAGACTTGCGTTTATTGGTTTTACGTAAAAATATTTCGTGACAAATTTAGTAACATTTGGGTACTTGGGTATTAGGTTATACCGACTACACCCATTAGCTTAGGTTATGATACGTAAAGTCAACGATAACGACTTGTGAAACTTGTAAGGTTACGTTGCAGAGCAGAGAATAAACATTTTTTTATTCTCTGCTCTGTGGGTTAGGTTGTTTTTTGTTTGTTTTTAAGTTAAGTAGGGCTAAGTATATTCGTGCAATTGGGGTGTTATTGAAAAAAAGTATTTATTCACTTCCTGCTCATTAGTGCCCTGTTTTGATCTTGTAAACACATTTTTCTCCTCAAAAAAAATTATTGCCCCTCTTTATTAACAGTAGGAAAATCCTTCATTTTGTTTGGCCACCTAATTACAGCACATGAACTTGAGCACCAGCGATGCAGCGTCACCGTGCACGTTATCGCATTGCGCAGTGATAACAGCGATTGTGCGAACACTTAGGAAGGGTGGAGCATTGTGATAATAAATACTGTACCTGATATTTACGTGCAGAGACGTCTCTACAAAAATCGGGTACTGTAATCCATAAACCGAAATATTATGTCGTGAAATATTGTTCCTTTGCATAAAACCATGAAGATGCAACAGATGAGGATAGCTATAGGCCTATTTCACTTCTTAAAACTTTATCAAAGATCCAGGAAAAATTTCCCAGATTCAGCTACGTCACAATCTTGAATCATTTAACTTGCTAGATAACACTGAGCCAATGGTAGGGGGAATCTGACGGGTGTTGTCAGTGTATTCCCGAAGTCCCAATGATACCCATATGTATATTTACCTATATATCCTGTTTAAAATGTTCAAATCATGAACATATGTATGTTCATCAACGTCATCGCTGCAACCCTCTCACACTCGTACTCTTCCGTCACTTGACGATGGCGAATGGTTTACGTAGCACCCATTTGACGAGACGCTTTCATTTATCAGTGACACTATCAAAACCTGCTGGGTTCGCTGATTTCGCAAATGTTCAATGGTAATTAAATAATAATCCCTAATTAAAATAATTATCTCCGAGGAAAAGTTTGAGTGACAGACGGACAGTTCCAGGGTGATTGCGGTCCGCGGCGGAAGTGACGGGTGTAAGTTGTAAATTACCCAAGATGGGATCTGAGTAATGAGTAATTATCTGATCGGGGTTTCCGCCCAGCTGCCCTTGGTCGCGACCTATTTTATTATTAGTTTATTTAGGTATGTTTTATATTTCATAATTCAGGCAATTGTGTCATTTTGGCTTGCCTTGGTGTAAAGAAGTGTGTATCTGTGACCAATGCTATATATCAATATTGGTTATTGAACCTAAATAATCAGTTTGCACTGTATTTATTTGTGTAGTGTAGTGTAAGGTACAAAGAATTACTTGATGATGAGGACCAGTAAGGTAAATTTGAGGAAAAATCGTAAAGGTTTATTTTGCAAGTTTGAATTTCTCTTTACTGATGTACATAACACTGTAATGAACATATATTGTACATAACATTGTTTGGTTCTTCGTTATCGTCATGTATCGTAATATTTAATTGATTGTCAACTGTCGACAATCTCTTACGTCGCAAAAATATTCTCTGTATAGTTATTTTATTCATAGCTCAATTAATAAATTGCACGTGTCAAACAA